GATCCAACGAAGTAATCATTAAACCAAGGGCGAAGCAGATCCGGATTTCTTTAAGTGACGACCTCAGAGGGGACGTCGCAAACCTCACCTCCGAGCTCGGGGGCCTGTATGTTGACATCCGGATCGACCTGGCCGGACTTTAATGAGCCGATCCGACGAACCGGTTAGAGCCGGACTTCGGGCTGGGACAGAGCCGAGTAGGGGCGAAAGTGTCGAACTGAGCCGAGAAACTATGCAACCCGGACTGACGGGGATATTTCTAAGGCTCGGCACCTTGCTCAGTAGGGTACCGGTCACATCAGGTCCGGTCTGAAACAAGACTCCCGAGAGTCGCGTGAACCCTTTGGGAAAAAGGTGCCGATCAGATAATCCGAAACTGCCTCTCGGAAGATAGGTGCCGACTTTGATATTATTAAAATATTCACCACTTGGAAGATCATCATTTAGCAATGGGACGGGCTGTCATAGCCTGTCACCCTACAAGCAAGCCTAGTCAAGAAAGCCTACCAGCATTAAATGCCCCATATGCTTGCATTAAATGCTTGGCAGGCTTTGATTGAAGAAACCTCTAATCGCATTAATTAACTGTCAGAGAGGCGCCAAACAGCTACGCAAGTCTACTGTGCGACAAGACCGGTGAACAGTGCTTGAACAGTACTTCATTTAAGGATACTATAAATAGCAACTCACTTCATTTATTTTGGGCTGTTGAATCCTCAACTAACTCCAGCTTCTTTCTACTTTCTTTCTCTAAAACTGTAAGAAACTCATTGTAAGAATTGTAAGTATATCACAAGTGGCGACCTCGTACAAGAGGCCGACCTCGTGATCGCCTAATAAAATTGTAATTAAACCACATCTTTTCTTTATTTCCAGTTTTGCACTTTCAATATTTATCATTTTAACCGTTGACTGAAAACGCTCGTCAACAATCATCTTGGAGTAAACACTTTGGGTCTAAGAATAAGCACAGGATTAGAACCCTCACTTTGAAGCTGGAGGAAATGAGATCCTTGGGAGATGGTAAGAATTGGGAGGAGTGGGAGGCAATCAAGAAAGAGTTGGATAATGCACATTGCTCTGAGGAGCAGTACTGGCAACAAAAGTCTAGGACTCAATGGCTGAAAGAAGGTGATCAAAACTCCAGATATTTTCATGCTGTCACAATGCAGAGAAGAAAGAAGAATGCTATAACCCGGCTGATTGATGATTTTAGTATTGTCCTCCTTCAACTCTTTGGACTAAGAATTCTGACTTATTCACTATTTTAATTGGTTATTTGCATATTTGTTTTAAATGTAAGCGAAAATTCGTGCTACCATCGGTTGTATTTGGACCCATTTTTGCATTCTACCTACTGTTTAGCTTGTACCAACATTGGAGGATGGTATGGAGGAACTTGGATTTGGTCCAAATGGTGGTCTTTTATACTGCATGGAGTATCCTGTACCTATGTGGTAGTCTTTGATTTTCTTCTAGTGTATTCTTGTTTTGGTGAAAGCGGTTTACCCTCAATCTTCATGGGTTTTATTGAAGCGATGAACTGTGTTGAACAATTCTAGATTCCTTGTTACTATGTTGTGCTTCTATTATTAGGGTTTTGCAGCCTTAACTAGCACTCATGCATCTGGAAGATAATTTGGATGATTGGCTGACGGGAGAGTTGGATAATTACATAGATGATGATTACATAGTGTTCGAATATCCAGGTATTCATGGATATTTTGGGTAGACATGGCCAATTGCTGGGCCAGTTCACGTCCCGGTCCGGCCCGCCGGGTCTGCGGGCCTCAAATGCTGGGCCCGGAACCGACCCAACTATATCT